TATTGCACAGGTGTGCCTTAGGCTGGCCACAATAAAAGGCCACTCTGAAACGTGCAGTTTTGCTTTATTGGGGGGGTCCGAAAACCAGTCAGTATCTGGTGTGACCGCCATTTGCCTCACGCAGTGCAACACATCTCCTTCGCATAGAGTTGATCAGGTTGTTGATTGTGGCCTGTGGAATGTTGGTCCACTCCTCTTCAATGGCTGTGCGAAGTTGCTGGATATTGGCAGGAACTGGAACACGCTGTCGTATACGCCGATCCAGAGCATCCCAAACATGCTCAATGGGTGACATGTCCGGTGAGTATGCTGGCCATGCAAGAACTGGGATGTTTTCAGCCTCCAGGAATTGTGTACATATCCTTGCAACATGGGGCCGTGCATTATCATGCTGCAACATGAGGTGATGGTCGTGGATGAATGGCACAACAATGGGCCTCAGGATCTCGTCACGGTATCTCTGTGCATTCACAATGCCATCAATAAAATGCACCTGTGTTCGTCGTCCATAACATACGCTTGCCCATACCATAACCCCACCACCACCATGGGCCACTCGATTCACAACATTGACATCAGAAAACCGCTCACCCACACGACGCCACACACGCTGTCTGCCATCTGCCCTGAACAGTGAAAACCGGGATTCATCCGTGAAGAGAACACCTCTCCAACGTGCCAGACGCCATCGAATGTGAGCATTTGCCCGCTCAAGTCGGTTACGACGACGAACCGGAGTCAGGTCTAGACCCCGATGAGGACGACGAGCATGCAGATGAGCTTCCCTGAGACGGTTTCTGACAGTTTGTGCAGAAATTCTTTGGTTATGCAAACCGATTGTTGCAGCAGCTGTCCGAGTGGCTGGTCTCAGACGATCTTGGAGGTGAACATGCTGGATGTGGAGGTCCTGGGCTGGTGTGGTTACACGTGGTCTGCGGTTGTGAGGCCGGTTGGATGTACTGCCAAATTCTCTGAAACGCCTTTGGAGACGGCTTATGGTAGAGAAATGAACATTCAATTCACGGGCAACAGCTCTGGTGGACATTCCTGCTGTCAGCATGCCAATTGCACGCTCCCTCAAAACTTGCGACATCTGTGGCATTGTGCTGTGTGATAAAACTGAACATTTTAGAGTGGCCTTTTATTGTGGCCAGCCTAATGCTGCGTTCAGACCGGACGCGATGCGAATATTCGCTTCGCTCTAAACGCTCCTATCGCATCGCTCTAGTCGGTCGAGTTTCACCGCGGCTGCCAGCTGTGTTTACTGCATCATTCAAACAAGACGCGCTGGCTCGGGAGCTACAACTACAACAAAATGAACATATTTTACCGTGATTAAATTGTAATACACGTTTCTAAATGATGCCGACGTAACAACATACTGATACCGGTTAGTAAAAACCATGAATTAATGCTTTGACAAGACGGCAGGCGAAAAACCTTTTAAAATGCTTGTTTTCTGAATGGAGATTGGGTCGACCAGGCTAAGCTAACGTTGTATATGCTCACTCCACACTCATAACAATGGCCTACAGACATAAATAAACCAGCGACTGTATTCGCCATGACACAGACAGTCTGTGGTTTGTTCTTGTTCAACTTTTGTACAGTTTCTGAACAGATATGAGCAGAGATGGGGTCGTTACTAAAAAAAAGTAATATATTACACTACTTCGTTACTCTCTACATAAAGTAACTCGTTACTTTACTCGTTACTTTACTCGCAGGGCCGGCCCGCCCCTCCCTGCAGGCAGATCACGCAGACTGCTAAAGTTTCAAATGTTCTCTTTAGTTCAGTTTCCATTGTCGCATAAGACTGATCCAGATCCTGAATATTTTCCTATCTGACCATGGCTGTCCTCTGTCTCCTGCTATCTGTATATTTTGCGCAGTCTATCTCTGCTCACGCTGTTGCGTCGGCGTGTTCTCCTGCGTGTTGGCCATGTGTTGCACTGGAACCAGACTGGAGCACACCGCCAAGACTTCAGCCGAGCACGTACGAACTGCACATGCGTGAGTGGCAATAACTCTCCTTACCAGCAGGCGGCGGTAGTGTGTATTCGTCATTCAAAACAGGCAACAACCGGAAAACAGAGAAGAAGAACAGACTACGTGATATAAACAAACAACAAATAGCTGTGCGTTAGCTTCACCTTAGCATGTGTTCTTTGCAGGTGTTTGTTGAGGTTTGATTATGACTGATTTTAGTAGCCTAAGTAACGAAGTAACGCGTGTCGGGGCAATGGTAGTAACTGTAGTTTGATTACTGAATTATAAAAGTAGCGCGTTACACTACTCCGTTACCGACAAAAGTAATATTACTTTGTAACGCGTTACACCCAACTCTGAATATGAGGATCTGTGATCTCTGTGTGCTAACTGCTAACAGCTAATGGCTGATGTTTTCCGGTTGAACGTCAGTGACGGCAGGCTGAGATCCTCACCGCTGATTGGCTTCCGCGAGAACGCGTCACGTGAATTTGACGCCCGAGTTGAAAAAATTGAACTCTCGTGTTTGACGCGGCCCCCTTCAATCGCCTCAATCGCGTAATTCGCGCCGCATCCACCGCTTCATGCGCGCCGTCGGAGCGAATTCGCGTCTGATCGCGTCTCTGCATTGACTTTACATGTAATCGCGCCGCCCCCAAACATTGCATCGCGTCTGGTCTGAACGCAGCCTAAGGCATACCTGTGCAATAATCATGCTGTCTAATCAGCATCTTGATATGCCACACCTGTGAGGTGGGATGGATTATCTCGGCAAAGGAGAAGTGCTCACGATCACAGATTTACAATATTTGAGAGAAATGGTTATTTTGTGTTTATAGAAAATGTTTTAGATCTTTGAGTTCATCTCATGAAAAATGGGAGCAAAAACAAAAGTGTTGTGTTTATATTTTTGTTCAGTGTATAATTACCTTTTCCTCACACAGGTGCTAGCAGCGTGCATCATCTATCCCAGGTTCTACACTTTCTCCAGCTGCAGCAGACAGATCGGTGCCACAGTCACTTCCTGTCCGGTCTTTATCCTGTACGCCGTTGAAGTGGGGCTGACCCGAGCCAAACCCGACGAGCTGAGTGGGTTCCTGTCCACAGTCCCGGGCCTCCTCAAGGTTCTGGAGGCCTTCGTGGCCTGCATCATCTTCATCTGCTTGGACCACCGCCAGTACTTAGTTATCAAGGCCTCCAGTGGTGTGTCGCTGTCTACTCCATTTGCTTCATCTTTGCCCTCCTCGTCATCATCTTTACCGTCTGCCGCCTTCTGTCTCTCTTCCCCGCACCATTTGACAAAGTCCTGACCGCATGCAACGTGTTGGCGGTGTTGATGTACCTCACAGCTGTGGTCATCTGGCCTTTGTACAGCTTCATAATTTAGTGGCTATCTCCTTCATGACCGCTTTTAACCTTGGTGCTAACATTGATTATTCTTATAGGCTGGTGTTTTTTGTTAGCAGAACATAGGATGCAAAAACGCATCATAGTTCAGGTGTTTACCCATCCATTCATATCAATGAGAGTAGACTAAATCAGGCTTTTTTTATACACTGTTTTGTGATCATCTTGTCTCCATTTTTTTCTCCAGAATCAATAAAACAAAACGAGAGGTTTTTTTTAAATATATATTCTGGGAGGTCTTTTACAAATAGCAGCTAATTTACTCTCGAGCTGCTCCTCATGAGGAGTGCGGGGATACAGAGGTTAAGCTCACTCCTTACACCAGATCGTTTTTTCTCTTTCTCTGGAGACACATTTTGGTGTTTACACTTGGTGGAGCTTCAGGTAACAAAACTAGTTGCAAACAAGAAAAGGACACAAAATACATGAATGCAAAAGACTTAGAGGAACTGGCAAAACAGGCAAAACCTCACCAGTAGCAGATAAGGAAACCAAAATCCAGTGGTCAGACAATAAGGTCCAAAAAACACACACTAGACAACCTGGCTTTGAAAGTGTTTACTTAAACACTCAATCACAAGTCTCATATATCTGCCTGTTTGGTCTGGTTAGGACCAGTCAGACTGGCCCATAAAGAATGAGACATCATCAACTTCCTACTGTCCCCTATTAACCCCAATTGATGCTTCAGACTAATAGCTTACAAAAAAATGCAATGGTGTAGTACACACTGTAAACACGCATGCAAACACACACATGCTTGGATTTGCACATACACACTTTTGTTCCCTACAGAGGCATTTTATACTGGCAACTTTATCTTGTGTTTGGTGTGTGTGCGTGCGTGCGTGCGTGCGTGCGTGCGTGCGTGCGTGCGTGCGTGCGTGCGTGTGTGTGTGTGTGTGTGCGATTGTGGGAGAGACTGAGAGGCAGTGATGCAAACGGCTGAGATAGAGACGCCTCACACAGCCGGGCTCACTGCATCATCATCATCATCATCATCATCATGCAGACACCAGATCACACTGTCACCTTCAATAATGTCACACATTAACAACTTAATCACTCATCATAAGGGCTGTGTCAGGTGTTTGTTCAGCTTGATTCATGCAGAGTATAGTATGGTTGCCACAGCTTTACAGCAGAACAAATCTCAGCTCTGTTAGTGTGTGTGTGTGTGTGTGTGTGTGTGTGTGTGTGTGTGTGTGTGTGTGTGTGTGTGTGTGTGTGTGTGTGTGTGTGTGTGTGTGTGTGTGTGTGTGTGTGTGTGTGTGTGTGTGTGTGTGTGTGTGTGTGTGTGTGTGTGTGTGTGTGTGTGTGTGTGTGTGTGTGTGTGTGGCAGCCTGTTGTTAACGCTGCATTGGATGACAACAACATGAAGCTAATGGCTTCAAATTAGGCAGCTTTCCCAAACAATTATCATCACATCTCCTTCAATGTGCAATTTCATCCTCCTTCCACCACTTTTCCGTTTTAGCCTAATTTATCTCTCCCTCCGTCTCAGGTGCCCCGGGCCACCATCAAGGTGATCTGTTCCCCAGGCTGCACCTCCATAACTCTGGCTGTCTCTCATTCACAGTAGGGAAAAAGTTTGTATGACTATATTTACTGGAACCTCTAAACAGTGGTGTATACTATTCAAGTACAATTTTGTGTTACTTTGTACTTCTACTCCACTACAATTCAGAGGTAAATTGTGTCATTTTTCTCCCAGTCATTTGTTTTTAATTATCTTTAGTTACTTAGCTTATTTAAATAAGACTTAATTAAACCTGGAGTAAATTCACAAGCTACCCTGCAGTATACAAAGCAATTAAACTGTACCTTTACCAGTTTTATTAAACTCATTAATGCAGCAATATGTATAATCAAAACATGTAGTATATAATATGCTGAAATGGACCGATCTGCAAAATGAGTACTTTTGGTACTTTAAGTTTATTTTGATGCCAATACTTTTCTACTTTTAATTGAGTAACATTTTGATGGCAGGACTTTCACTTGTTGTTACAGAGTATTCCTACTCTATGGTACTTCTACTTTTACTCAAGATCTAAGTTATATTCCCACCACTGCCTCTAAATAAAAAACGGGGAAAAAAAGTGTGTTTTTACACCAACAACTAGTCTCGTGCTGTCAGGTGATTGCAACCACCGATGGGTGGGACTTTCCCATCCAAAAGGCGGGGGGACGTTTTCCACATAAATACTCGCAGAATGCGTCGAAGCGCTAAATGACCCTGGGAAAGATCAGCTTTAGGACGCACAGAATTTCCTTGAGACTTGGAAGATAAGGTTGCTTTTAGCGACTGTGGAAATGGAAATCTGAGCGTGGTGACATCAAGAAAATGCCGCAGGATGAAAATTCAAGTGTGAGGTTTCTCTTTCAAGCGACTGAGGAAAATAACGAGAGAGTTGATTTTGACCCCAGAGATACCTGATGAATATCGCGGGAGACGCGCAACACGCCTACTGATATAGGTGGAGAGGAAAAGGCGCACAGGTACGTTGAATACCACGCAATTTAAAAGAGAAATGTAAATGTAAATTAATGAAATACTTGTATCATAGTCAGGGGCGACGGGTGCTGTAGGCTAGAGCAGGCTCCTTCCCAAATATTTGTGTCACTGCATCCTGGTCAAATACAAATATAATGTAGGCTATAATGTTTGTGTCTTTGACATTAGCGCTGCTATGCAGCCACCTGTGCCCTGTACGAAGCCAGTTCAACAGACCCTGGATATGTTTGAGTTATTTTAACTAACCCTAACAAACGAGATCTCGCTAAGCGGTCCTACGATGCTGGTTATCAACTCGGTCAATCAAGCCAGGGTTTCTCTCTCCAGCTGAGAGCGCGTTCACGTGAAAGGGGCGGGGTTAGCTACATTTGACCAACCACAAACAGGGACAAGTGTACTGACAGCGCAGCGTCATACTTCATTAATGAAAAGTAAACAAATATTAGACAAATATGAACTTTAAACATCCATTACTTAAACATATAATCCAGGATACAAGCCACATAATTGCACCTGCAAGGAGAATACAGAACAACTGGTTAAAAAATAAACTACCAAGTGTTTGAAAGCGTAGGCTGCAACAGTTTTATGTCATCTAAGACACGAGGGGATCTGACTTTAATTAGGCTACATTTGAGTTGAGTGTTTCGTCAACTTAATGTGTTGCTTAAAATAATACGTCTGCATACAGTATATGTGACAATGTAGGCTAACCAAGTATTGCACGGCCAGATACGGCTCGAGAAGCTGAGTCAGATAAGGAAATATTGTGATATTATATGATCAATGATCTGATTGATGATGTGATACATATCAGTGTGATATGAATGATAAGTGTGACACGTCGGCGTCTTCTCATACGGCAGTTTAAACTGTATTTCCTTTATACTGTAATATGACTTGATAGATTTAAACTCCGCACACTAACCCCTCGATTCCACCGGGTCCGTCTACGTCGCGTCACGGCTGCGCCGCGGTTTTGGTCCGGCGTCATACCCTACCGGGCGCGTTGCAGGAGCGTTTCAGAAGCATTTCAGAAGCGGAGTGTCTTGCGTGCCGGCTCGCAGTTTTTGTTGATTTGGGCATATTTCCTGGACAGGCTACTTTGTACAGACAAAGTTAACCCTTAGATGCATAAGTGGGTCTTTTTGGACCCGGGGAGGTGGTTTTCTTGAAGTAGCCTACCTTTGTAATTCCATTTTTTTATCATTTCATATTCCAGTTATTCCTCAAAAAACATGTTTTGGATATCATGCCATTCACATTTTAAATTGACATTTTAAGAAATTGTAGTTGTTGTATTACTACCCCAAGCTTCCATAAGTGGGTCAAAAATGACCCGCATGCATTTTCTATGGAATCCTATGGGAATCTTTGATTCTTATCACCTGTTGCTGTCAGGAATACATTCACTGTATACCACACAGACTACATCACAAGTGACACCTCGCAGGAAGATTATTTTACACAGCAAGATCTGATACCTGTAAGTATAATAATAATAATAATAATAATAATAATAATAATAATAATAATAATAATAATAATAATAATAATAATAATAATAATAATAATAATAATAATAATGATAATGATAATAATAATAATAATACTACATTTTATTTGTATAGGGCTTTTCAAGGACTCAAAATCACTTTACAAAATAAGAGAAGGTTAGGGTGGGGGGTATAGGACTATCAAACTTGATCAACCGGCATGGATTGATGGGGGTGGGGGGGAAGAGATGAGTTTTGAAAAGGGACTGGAATACTGTGAGGGTCTCCGAATAGCGGAGATCTTTGCATCAATATGCTCAAAATGTTTTTTTTTTCAAAATGTAAAAAAAATGTCTAAAATTATAAATTGTGAAAAATTAAATATTAAATATTTCTAATGTGAACCAAAATATAATAATAAATATTATACAAATGATTTTTCTTAACCAAACTGACAAAAATGGCATAACAACACATTCTAATACAGGTCCTTTTAGACCCACTTATGGAAGAGTGTAGGGTCCAGTCACTCGTGCATCTAAGGGTTAATAATAATTGTAATATTCCAGTTATAAACGACATGAATCAAAGATGTGTTGCTGTATTTTAGTGGTAAAAAAATGCATTCATCATCATAATTATTCTATATATATCATTTACACAGTGCCTGACCGGAGGAGAACGCTGGCATTTCTCCTACTTGAAAGACTACGAGGGATAGGGTCTGCAAATTAGTTTATTTGGGGGATGGGCCGGATGTTGTCACCGGTCCACTTCCTGCCTGCCGCCTCTGCAACGCCTCGCGTCGAAAAATAGACTTGAATCCTATTTTGAGCGGAGCCCAGCGCCGAGACGCTTCTGGGACGCTTCTGAGCCGTAACATGGCGCGTCTGGTGGAATAGCACCCATTGACTAGAGTGGCCGCGATCCTTTCGAACGCCACGGCACACCCGTGACGCGGCCGTAACGCGGCGCAGACGGACCCGGAGGAATCTAGGGGTTACGAATAAAGTTACGGCCCCTACACACGGCGGCGTGCGTTACCGCTTGGCGGTGGGCGTGTCTGAAGCTTGGGGATTTTTTACGAACAACGCGACCAACAACCAATCACATGAATGTCCCGCCCCGGACATACAAAGCAAAGCATTCATGCTACATCCATGCTGGCTAAATATACTGTCTATGCTTGCTAGCTGTCCATTCAAACGAAGTACACTGGCTATAAACTCCCCAAACAGGCGAAAACCTACCAGTTTCACCCACTGTCTCTGCCACCTCCCCCCATGCCTGGCTCCTCCGGTTTGTATCCCTGTATGTAAAGAGGGACTGGTCATATAGTACCGGGTGATTCCCTAACGCCACGATAATTTCCTCCTCCATTTTTTGATATATGGGAAATAACTGCGGTCTGGCTCTCCCAACATTGATTGGCTAGCGCTTGTGCTGTCAGATTTGCATACGCGGGATTTGATTGGCTGACGCCTCCGTGAGGCGGCAAAAGTAGAACATTGCTCTACTTTTGCAGCGAGCACCGCGAGAGAAGCTACGCTTTGCTCCCACAATGCAGTTCGGCGAATCGTGACGTCACCCCATTCAAAGTGAATGGGCAGAAGCGTTGAAGCGGCAACGCACGCCGCCGTGTGTAGGGGCCGTTACGAAACTGCGAGCCCTGAAATGCTCCTGAAACGCGCCCGGTAGGGTATGACGCCGGAGGAGGCCGGACCAAAACCGCGACGCAGACGGACCCGGTGGAATCGAGGGGTAGTGGCGCGGCAGGGTTTCGCCGCTGCGAGGCTCCCCTCCGTTGACGCTCGCGAAACAGAGGGCCTCATCATATAACTTTGCATGGGGCCTCATGTTGGCCAGGGACGGCCCTGCGTGGACATGTGCGTTTGGAAAACTTGTGAGCCATAAAGGTTTATTTGGCAAAATTAAGATTTAATAATAACGAGCCAGGCATCGGATGGCTGTGTGCTGAAGGTGTTATAGATCAGTTGACACCATTTCAAATACCAAGCAGTGTAAAGGGGGACAGGGGCTCCTGTGTGGGCTCCTGTGTTTGTGTTCTCAACATCACAGTGCGGGCTTCGCGTCATTCCCGTGTTTTGAAGCGCGGTTCAATGCATCTTTACGTCACACTTCTTATTTGTGCAACACATTTTTGGCTGACAACTGACTGCTTTAAGGTTATTATTAGTATTATTATTATAGGTCAAACACAAGGCAGCAGGTGGGGATATTGTTGATGAAGTCTCATAATGGCAGTAGAAATTCCATTATTAATGGGGGCAGCCATTGTTTTAATTGCTGTAATATGCTTTATATGTTATATGTCAATTAGGGATACCTTCACAACCTTATATCATTATTTTAAGTTTGGTTGTAATATTAAAGATGAACGTCTAAAATTAAATTATGAATTACTCTTTAATCAATTGCTCTGTGGTGGAATCAACATTTTACTATCTGAATCAAGGGTCTTAAATTCACTAACATTCAGCTGCATTATAATTGGTGGAATTTACGTACATTTATTATGTACAATATTGAGGTGCTGCACACTTTACAATTAACTCCACCTTTACCGGCTGCAACATTAGAACAATGTTCACATGAATCCATCACCAATTAAAATATATTTTAAATATGAAGTGAGTCAATTTGCTAAATGTTACTTCTAGTCATTTAATTCAATGTTGTTTTATTTTAACTTGTAGCAGACTATTTTTACTCCATTGTTTTACTACCTTCAATATGGTTAAATATCTGAGAACTTCTACCACACAGATTATATTACAAGGCAAAATTAGAACTAAATTGACTTTGAAAAAAAAGATGTTAACAGCAGTGAAAGGACACAAGACACTGATTTGAATTCATCTTCAGCTCAAACTTCCTGATGTTCCCAGACTGCATGAATGCACACGAGCACACATCCATCAATCAGTGAAGTTATCCATTGTCTAACTCATCTCCTGTTGAACCTCAATTCTAAAATAAAAATGTTTCCAGTTGGCGGGACAAGTGACAAGATGACTTCCTGTTGTCATTTAAATTATCAGCTCAACATACAATCACACTTTTATATGCTAGAATATAGTCCTAAAGTATATTGCTACCTCAGAACCAGTACACTTTATCACACTTGAGGGATTTCACAAAACAAATGGAATAGTTGATAAAATCAATTACTTATGTTCCACTTCAAATCCCGTAATTTATATTTTTCATTGTGGCACTCTAGCTCTTTGAGGATTTTGGCTACGTGCCACTTGCTGCTGCTGGTTCTTGTTCCCACATTTATGGACATCTACTGTAATTCAACTCCAATGACAGTACTTGGAACCTGCTTATAATTTTCTAGGAAGATTAACTTCCCATTAAGAGAAATGGACTGTTGGCCACTGGCCCAGGACATTTAGTGGAACGTTTCCCTAATAATATTGGCACCTTGCCCAGAATGCCTCAAACCCATGTGTTGTTGTAAGGTGCAGAGGTATACATAACATAGATTGTTTAAAGACAAAACTCGCCTTAGAACAGCCCCGGGGTTCAGATACTGCTTGGATGGTCCCATTTCCCAAACTGCCAAACTGCCAGACAGACAATCCAAGCTGAACATTGCATTTCCTTAGTATAGTTAACATGTGTTGTTTTCAAGTATCACATTTGTACATTTGTGTCTGCATTTTCCCTAATTTACTGTAATCCTAACAGACACCAGCACTACCTCCTTCAACATGGATGGCTACTACAATTGGACGTCAATATCTGACAACGTCACCTTGCCTTCCTCCAAGCCCTACCCAAGCTACCCCACACACACAAATAACTCAGACTTGCCCGAACCAATGTCCTTCAACGTGGTCACTGCAGTTGTCTACAGCATCGTCTTTATTGTGGGTCTTCTGGGTAACACTCTGGTCATCTATGTGGTGGTTCGCTACACCAAGATGAAGACTATAACCAACATGTACATCCTCAATCTAGCCTTGGCGGATGAACTCTACATCCTGGGAATTCCTTTCCTAGGCACCAGTAGTGTGCTTTCCTACTGGCCTTATGGAGATTTCTTCTGCAAGGTGTACATGACTGCTGATGCCATGTGCCAGTTCTCCTCCACCTTTTGCCTGACGGTGATGAGCATTGATCGCTACATGGCTGTGGTTCATCCTGGTCGCAGTGCCAATTGGCGGAAGCCCCAGGTGGCCAAGACTTTGAATGGCATGGTGTGGGTTGTGTCCTTTGTGGTCGTGCTGCCCGTCACAATCTACTCACATGTACAGGAGGAGTTCAACACCTGCAACATTACCTGGCCTGAGCCGCACGATTTGTGGGCCATTGCCTTCATCCTCTACACATCCATCTTGGGCTTCTTTGGTCCTCTGGTTGTCATCTGCCTCTGCTACCTGCTCATTGTCATCAAGGTAATGAGATAAATTGAACTGGCCTTTGGCTTTTAATGGTCTCTAAATACACACTCCTGCCTCATATTAAGATTAAGTTAAAAAACAACAATATAGTTAATGTTCTAATTTTAAACTAAGGATAACTAAAGCGTAACAAAACTACTTGCTTGTGTTTAGTCCACACTACTACTTGTATAGCTCAAGTAAAATATCATGCTTGTCTTAAAATAAGTATGTGCTTTACATTGACATTAAAGGTAGGGTAGGTAAGAATGGAGAAACCAGCTCGAGTGCGCTAGAATTTGAAACTACGCAGCCGAAAAAAATCTGCCCCTTCCTTCCTTCAGACTTCCTTACAGAGCCCCTCCTCCAACACACACGAACGCGCACATGACCAATGAGGGCACGAGATAAGTTTGTGCACAGATGGAAGGCTGACAGGCAGGTAGGCCATCCAGTTATTTTAGCCAGGCCGGCTAAAATGATTGGTCGTGCTTTTTAAAGCGCCACGGCTTCCACAGACGACATTTTTTAATGTATTTATTGTCAAAGCATTTAATGTATTCATTGCTATCGGGACGTTAAGAGCATTCCATGGAATATAACAAAAAGTGTTTCTGAAGAAAATTACCTACCCCACCTTTAAGGTATGAAGTAAATAAAGTAAACATTGACTCTTCCCCCTGCCCTCCACACTGAATGGACGTCTATGGATCATGATTAGAAACATATCTGTAATATATTGTATATCTGTATACAAACGTAATCTGGGGCAAGTTTTGTTTTCCTCAAAAAGTTATTGAGAATGCAATTGTGTTGTATGGCACAATTCCCGGAAGATCAGGCTGGAATACACTTTTGAATTTCCCTGTAGCTTCTTCTGTCAAAGTCTCATGAAACCTTCTCAACGTCCCATCTCACTTTCAGGTGAGGTCAGCGGGTGTGCGTGCAGGCCGGACCAGGTGGCGTAGATCAGAGCGGAAGGTGACACGCATGGTGGTGATCATCGTATTGGTGTTCGTACTTTGTTGGCTGCCCTTCTTCACTACCAACATGGTCAACCTGATTCATATCATCCCTGAGAGCAATACCAATGCTGCCATCTACTTCTTCCTGGTCATCCTCACCTATGTCAACTCCTGCGCCAACCCAATCCTCTACGGCTTCCTCTCTGACAACTTCAGGCAGAGCTTCAAGAAGGTGCTCTGCATCCAGAAGCCAAACACTGCTGGGAACGCAGGCCAGATGAGAGGTAGACCGACTTCCCCCGAGGAAAACCACAATCCTGTTTCCTCGCCAGAAAATCACACACAGAATGGAACCATGCAGAGCATTCAGGTATTGTGTAAACCATATTCATGTGATCCATCTAGTTTCTGATTAAAGCCAACATTCCGACCTCATGCCTAATAGATTTTACAACTGGTATACTGTACTTAACCATAAAGAGGCCCTTTTATGCCTTTTGGGGGTTTTCCCTTTCCTGTAGTGTGTAATATAGGTTTATGTGTGTGTAAATGGTCTGCAAAGGTTAAAATCCCAAAGTCCCCCCCCCCCCCCTGCCTGAAACGCCTCACTACGTAACACTCACGCTTCCATTGCACCAACACATTATACTATTATATATGATATGCTAAGTGCCTATTGTGTTAAATACGAATATGAACCTGAAAATGAGCATAATAGGGCCCCTTTCAAAAGAAGGACCCGGGCAGGCATAATCGTTGTGTTTAAAAAATATATAGCCTTGTCATTGTATTGTATTATTTAAAGTCATACTTATAGTAGAAACATGTTTCATAGTTGAATGAAATGTGACTCTTGTAATGAAGCCCACTTAATGTAATAAACACGAATGAACTGAGCCCCAGGTGGTAACTCTCAACAATAACATGTCCAGGAATTTATTTATGGACAACAAGTCTCAGCCTATGTCAATGTTTTTTCATTTTGTCTTTATTGTATTCCTAATCTATGTGTCTGTGGTATGTTTCAGCAGCCTGTCCAAATGCCGGTTATTGAGGACCTTGACAATCACCCTTTTACTACAAAAACAGAGCTGAATGGCCAGCAATTGCTTTGAGTCTTCAAGCATGGTCACCATGATCTAGTGTGCTACAAAATGGGACGTGGGACTGTTCACTCCTGGACCATTCTTTGATAGGTATTTCCTGTCTTTATTGCTGATACTCCCTATCTGACTGGGACTTTTGTAGAGAGGACCAGAGTGAGCAAATAACCCTCATTACTGATTTGTGTTTGTTCTCTATGTCTTTGAACTGTATTTAGGCTGGCTGCAGTGTACAAGCATTAGGCTATGTAAAGATGCAACATCTCAAAATGAAACAAAACACGTTTCAAAAGCTGTATGCTCTCAAACTGCTGTTTTTACCTTAACTGCATAGACAAAAATACAGGAGGCATTTTTCTCCAATTTATTTTCACATTTGATCATATAAGAAGCCTTGTTAAATGTACTGCTGGTGCTTTTTGCTATTGATGCAATCACTGTATACCTGTTATCTTGATGAAAACTGTATAATGTACATTAGCCAGCACGTGAAACACCAGTTTGTGCAGGTGGACGGTTGGGCAGGTAGACGGGCAGGTAGGCCGTCCAATCACTTCTTGCAGGCCAAATGAATTGATTGGACAGGCCTGCAAAAACTTCAGTTAACGTTTGTAGTTTTTTGTTTTTTTTATTTATTGATAATTGTTGGAAAGTAGAGAATTTCAACAAAAACAACTATTTGCATATACCCTAGCTTTAACATTCAGGGAAGAATCTTGGAAATATTTGTTTCGTAAACACATTTTGTTTCTTGTAAAACGCTTTCATCTAACAGTCAACAATAAATGATACAGCCGTACTTCCCCAAATATTAATCTGCTATTTTCTCTGATATTTGGTGCTGCGATACATTATGCTGAATTTATCATGTGAGCCATTTTAGTACAGATCATTTCACCTTGTTTTTTTGTTTTTTTACCGGGAGTTACGGTAATATTGAAATTCCGCAGTTGTTCTCTTTCTTACAGTAAACTTGTGCTGCTTTAAGTAGATTGAGCACTGCTCTGTTGGTTAATTGTAAAGCTTGTTAAAACATTTGTCATGTCCATTACAATTATATTTTTCCTGGCTTGTTAGATAGGGCTTTTTTGTGACATTTTAACATCAATGTAACTAATCTATAAACATTCCTTGAAGTCGCTCAGCCAAATATTGTACATATACGTCTATCTCTTCTATCTTATATTTCTAAAACAGAATCTGCTGGAGCAGATGCCATGGAGAAGTAAAGTGAGCATTTAGCTCCTGGACTTTGAGCTTTCATATTGTATGCCAACCTTATTGGGAAATTGCTGTGGCAAATTTTAACGTAAGCCAAGCAAAACCATGCTAACAATGTTTGTGGTGGGTTTGAGTTCAGCAAGAAGGACCTGTGGAAAAATTGATACCTTGAAGGATACATTGTTTGTGTGTGAAAAGCACTGAATTAAAACAAAAATAAGATTATAGGCCACTTTAGTTGTGGAGTTTTGAGTTCTACATCCTTAAACAAATAAAAGATCTAATGTCAGAAAAATAAAATCAGATGACTTTCAATTTGTGTTAATGGTGGTGGGATTTTGTTTGTTTGGTTTCCTCCAAATTAAAGCTATAGATATACACTTCACTTTTTCCCGTTTTGAAGTATATTCAATTACAATGTCATGAACACGTTGAAAGACTTACTGGAACTTTGATCCATCTCCATTCTCAAGTTGAATAAATGCATAATAGTATGGGTCTTAAGTAACTACTTTTTAACTTGTTCAGAAGGCACACAAAATAAAAATAAAAACTGAGTAAGTAAGAAGTGATACAACAAAATAGGAAAAGCTGACTATAAAACCTTTTTGTAAACATATTTTAGGATGTAACTTGAAATCAACATAATGCGCAAATGTGCAGAAAAATAAATATTTCAAATTAACTAGAGAACTCTCTTAAACACGGATAACTAATTGTGGGGGAGTTGTAAACTCAACAATAACACGTCATCTTTTAAGCTGATATAAAAAACATGTCAGCAAACAATTGGTCATTTACACATCTAGCAGTTAACTTATGCAGGTTGAGATGTAAACAAAAAGTAAGTTTATGCCTATCAACCTGTTATATTCCAATGGAGTTGTACTAAATTACAACACATATCATTGACATTATTTGATTCAGTGAAGCTTATCTAGTCTATGCAATGTAACTAATGTCCATCGCTGTACAGCATGGGTTTCCAGTATCCTTTATCATTTTCTCCCCCTGAGCATTTTCAGAATCATCAGAATACCTTTATTAGTCCCACAGAAGGGACATTTACGTTGTTACAGCAGAAAAAGAGCCAAAGACAGCTTTATGTTACATTATGTTGCGTATGTTACATGCATAAAAAAGTAGAAAAAAAGGTAAAATAGAATAAAAAATAGAATAAAATAAAAGGTTACACAATTTACAAAAATACACACCCTGTAACAGTTCTGTGGATTTAGCAGCCAGGCATATATTGCACATTTATTAACGGCATGTATATATATTGCACAAATAGCACATATTGCACATAGTTCGTTGGTATTTCCTCTTCTACTGTATTGCCATTTCCTCTCTTTGCTGCTGCGCCTTCCACTTGTCTTTATGTCCCCTCCCTCATTAGTGCACTTCTATACGCAGCCCTTATTCTATGTTTACTGACAACCTGTTTGTGTGGCAGGGTGTGGGGGTAGAAACACACTCTGTGCCTTCTGCAGCTTCTGGTTACCTCTGTGTTTGGGGTAATGCTGCTTTTGTTCCATCGACCTCAATGTCAAGTGAAGGACACATATTTTTACCAAGCAGAGAAAAGAGCACATTACAACTTGTTTAGCCTTTAAGATGATTCCGAGAAAAACTAGCCATGAGAGGCCGACTTATTTTCAAAGAACTTAAACAAAGGAAAAACCTTGTACTAGAATAAACAATTAAGGCCTGAGGACTTTCTAAGGTCAATATGCTAGCAAATGCCTATCGCTCGCAGATAGATAGATAGATAGATAGATAGATAGATAGATAGATAGATAGATAGATAGATAGATAGATAGATAGATAGATAGATAGATAGATAGAAAGATAGAAAGATAGATAGATAGATAGATAGATAGATAGATAGATAGATAGATAGATAGATACTGTCGTTGTTCAATGTAAACAGGAATTCCAGGGATTTATTGTTTTCTGGGAAGACACAAATCAGACGCCATCAAACTGACCACACATGGCTTTATGGACACACAATATGTGTTTGTTGCCAATTCAGGGAGAGGAGGAAGAAGGTGAGTATCTTGTTTGTTTAAATAAACAACATGTCAGTATGTGTGGTGAGAGCGGAAAGGAATGCAAGCATTTATTTAAGTGGAGGTGAAAAAGACAGTGGCTGATATTTGAAAAGTAAATGGTAAAAGTTTAATTCTCATGAGTGTTATAATTATAATTGTGCATCATTGCTGCTTTTTTTAAATGTGTGTTGCATTGCAGCAAAACAAGAAGCCAATCACAGCCCAACCTGAAAAAGCCAAGAACACTTTCTCTTGAAGCTTGCTTGGTGTTTTGGCTACAACAGGGAGAGGGGGAGACTCAGTTAATTAAAGCTGAGAGCTGTGATCTTGTTCCTGCCTTTGACATGGGGAGGGCATTTCAATTATGTTTTTAAAAAGTTCCCTGCAGTAAACCAAGCCCAAGATAAATGCATGTTGCCACTCAGTATCACAACAAACCAAAAACCAAATTGTTCATGCTTTCCTTCTCAATCCTTATCACTTGACCACTCTCACTGTTTAGATATTATTATTTGGAAAGTGTCAAAGTGTTTATAAATGTATCTGAAGAAGAATGCATGCAGTGCTACAATCCTGATATAATAGCAGGAATATAATAGTCACAGCAACCTACTTTGTGACTTCAGAGTGGCATTTTCCTCTCATAGGTTTATTTCTCAAAAGGTTATTTGATATTTAGGTGACTCTTTAAAACTGAAGCAGAAGGAAAAGCGCAGCAGGGGAGTGGATCAATGTGTTGGTTACATTTATATCCAAATCATGTGTGTGTTTATGCAGACAGATGGAAGACACCATTGTTGTGGATGATACATTGAATCATTTCACTTGTTGAAACAAACAATAGCAATGCAAGGTGATATGCCTTGTTTCGAGTTATCACATCCTCTAAACACTTATATTGAAAATGACAGCACCTATGGCAGATGTTTTATAAGCCAGATTTCACTGGCTAAAAGATTAAAACACACTTAATTTAACCGACGTTTGTTTCTATCATATGGCTTAAGAAAACCTGCAGCTTATACATAATATTGTCTGTGGTGGTTGTTGTGTGTGTCCTGTGTGTTTGTGACTCATGGAGACATTGAAGACTAAACTTGGACTTTGCCCTGAGGTTCTCCTCTGATGCCAGCAACTGTCTTCTTTAATCTAGACACAAGGCAACTGAGCCAAATACCTCTCCTGTGCTGTTAAGATGTGTGTGCGTGTGCGTGTGTGTGTGTGTGTGTGTGTGTGTGTGTGTGTGTGTGGTGTGTGTGTGTGTGTGTGTGTGTGTGTGTGTGTGTGTGTGTGTGTGTGTGTGTGTGTGTGTGTGTGTGTGTGTGTGTGTGTGTGTGTGTGTGTGTGTGTGTGTGTGTGTGTGTGTGTGTGTGTGTGTGCTGACAGATGACTAACACATTAAGAGCTCCTTCAAAACACAATTAAGGCTCGACGGACAATATTAATGTGGTGCTCACTGTAGCTGACGTTTTGTTTTCTTATTAATTTGCAGACTAGTGTGTGTTTGTCAGATAGAGCACACACCACATCATTTCATGTACATTTTTGGTAACTGATACAAACCTTGTGCTCCGAATGCCAAGCTGACACTTTTAATCTCCTTTCATACACTCGAAAACAAAATACACAAGGCAAAGTCCATGAAAAGAAAAATATCAAACCTCTGATTTCATGCCTTTCGCCAATTTCTCCATGGCACAAAGTGAGGTGTTTGCATTGCTTGTTTTGTCTGACTCAATAAATATAGAAGATTAAGAAAATCTGCAAACTGTCAAATTTAAGAATCAGGAGCCACTATTTATGCCCTAATAACCCTTAAATCAGTGATCAAAGATTGCCAATACATGTTGAATCTCTGCAGCTCCGTTCCCCCTGGATCATTTAGGGACTAAACAAAATGATCAGCAGGTTTGTCCCATTTTCAACAGTATAAAGCATGACGTATGTGTTCGTTCCTCAAGACAATACTGTTGCTGTAACTGTGTTGTGATTAATTAATTAACTTAAGTCTCCTCCATTAAAATGATGGTCCTTCCTGGCCTGATTAAGTTGAACCCTGATGTATTAATTAAAATGGTCATCAAGATAATAGACCATCAGCGTGTGGACATCATAACAAAGTTGCAAGTGAATCCAGATCCCATAGCAGACAAACAATAATCTGATTGTGTTTTCTCCGAATGATCTAATAAAGGAAAATGCTATGAGCAAATGGAGCCATTGCTGAGGACAGGAAGATCTGTAGGATAGCATGATGGAAATACCGGAGATCGGATGTTTGTTGTTCGTTGCAGCCAGTGGCGGTTCTACAGTAGACCAATTTGACTGGGGGGGGCCAGGCTGGGGCCAGTTATTTTCTGAGGGGGGCACAATAAATGCAGGACGAAAAAGACAACGACAGTATGAAGTAATTGCGCATACACCTAAGAAAAAAATGCAATACAGTTATTGGTATTTGTTTCATTACACATTATTATATGCTTACATTTGTGTGCTGTTTGGGTCTGTGGGACCCGTTTTCAGTGTTTACTAAAAGAAAATGTATGCAATTTAATTATTTGAACCTGCTTTATTTGGGGGTGGACCTCAAATCCTCTAGGGGGGTCCGGGGGCATGCAGCCCCGGGAAGATTTTTTGTTGAAGTTAAATGCATCAATCTGGTGCACTTTGAGCACAAAATGAATTTATGGATACAGCTCTCAACACTCATGAAAGAGAGCTGTATACTTTCAATAATCAACAAATCTTTAGAATATGATCACAACCAATAACAAATCATTCAACTAGTTTATTCTTATTTTATGTTACCTATAGTTAGCATTCTTTCTTTTTATTTATGCATATTTTACTAATCACTCCCCTTTCAAACTGTTTTTTACTGTCCTAAAGTACACATTGGAATGATTTATTTATTTGTTACAACACATTAAATAGTTAAAGGTGTGCTCTCTCTAGCTCTCTCTCTCTCTCTCTGTCTCGCTCGCTCACAGAGGCTGTGTGCTCCTCCGTGGCGATGACGGCTTGCGTTAAAACATATTTGTAAAGTGGGGGCTATTGAGGGCTTGCGAGATACCGGTAGCTCGTGATCGAAGTGTTGGAGACCCCTGCTCTATTGGGTCCGACTAGAATGACAAATATCGTTACTTCCGCCTATTCCGTCAGCCAAGAAATCATTTAATCATAAACTCTTTTTTTTTAGGGGGGCCACAGGGGGGTCCAAAGTCAGTGTTAGGGGGGCACTGTCCCCCCCCCCTTAGAACCGCCCCTGGTTGCAGCAAAGCTCTTCTTCCTAATCGTAACTGTAGGATAGGTATTCATGTTAGTATCATTGATGATGCCAATAATGTCTGTATTAATTATATCATATTGCAATGAAGTGATATCTCCCCATCATGCATTCCAAGAAAAAATATGATTTTGTTAAAGTTTTGTCTACCCTTATTTAATTCCAGTGGACACAATAACTTGATTTAAAAGGTTTGACCAGAAGTGTGTTGTGTAGTAGTTGAAACACCTTTTGAATCATGAGTGTTCATTGACCTCCAGTGGTCATTGTTAGAAACTGCAATAATAAAGCATTGGTTTAAAAAGGATATATCATACTCATGTGACTACAGTGACAGGTTTGCATGCTTTAATGTTCCAAAAGAAAATGGTCTCATACTGCCTGCTGCAGCACCTCTTTTCACCCTCTGTCTGGAACCAGAGCCCAGTATGCTCTGATTGGTTAGCGCGCATGCTACGTTGTAATTGGTCAACCGCTTAGAGATGTCCCACCCCTTAGCCTATCACGTATCATGTGTTGGAGCGCTAGCCAATAGAAATGTGAGTGTTACGTATAGTGATATCACTATGTTACAGAAGTAAACAAAGGAGTCCAATGTAGACAGGGGGGGGGGGGGGGGGGTGCTCTGGGGTTTTAACCTTTGCAGACATACCCAAAAACCTACACTTCCGGTAAGGGAAACTCCCAAAAAGCATAATATGGCCCCTTTAACATTAGTTTCTATGTATTATATTACCAAAAATGTATGAACAGCAATAGTTCAGCAGATTTTTAAGTCAACATTACAAATAATAGTAACAAAAGTATTGTAATAACTACAAGAATACAAAACGGATACAAAAAGTTGCAATATAAGATAAGATAATGTTGGCCCTTTAGCTTTGAGAATCCATCCAAACTATGAGCTACAGTCATGTAACTACTGTATAGATTCATTGTGTTTATTATTATTTTAATGTTGTGAGGAGATTTTTTTTATTTATAGCATATATAAATGAAAATGAATAGTGTTTTGTAGTTAAGTAGTGGTAATATTGCCTTTAAAATGTTGATTATATAGTAGACTAAACAAATAATCAAAACAGAAATTGGTTTACTTACTAAGGATTCATATCATATGTCTACTCTTTAATGGTGACCACAAATATGCATTTACTTTAAGCCTTGGTTGAAGATCTGTGATTCGCTTTGGGTTAGTCATTTGGGGCATTTCTTCCCATGGGGTTTAAGGGGTTATAGATTAAATTAACAATTTAGCCAAGAACCTGGTCTAAATTATGAATGGAAAACTACAGTCAGTCATCTTGTGGTTTGCATGGTCTTATTGAATTATATGTTAATAAAAACACATGTTGAATCTTGTTTATTGAGCTGAGAAGATGTATATTTTATGTATATTTCTTAAACCCAATGCAGCATGCAGACAGTGCTTTATATGTACTTTACAACCCACCACCTAGGGGCAGTATTGTATAACTCTGAATCCTCTCACTGTGCTCCGAATATTTCACTTTCCTGAGAGACAAACAGGTAGCCTGGCCAGAGGGAGGTGGTGCTATTGCGCACACGGGCGCTCAACCTGCGCAAACTACAGCATAACTGCATGCATATTCTCCGATCAGTTGTTATGGATAAATGTGGAGGGAGAGGTGAGGCCCTGCTGATCATTTCGACTCCAACACGTCTGCAGTCACATCAATGATGCTCTCCTGGAGGCTCTGAAGTCTGTGCGCGCTGCAGCGGATCAGTTTTGGAGTCGCCAGCAGTGCGCCTCAGCTGGACACAGGACACACGATCTGGAGGACTGGCTTCATCGTTTTATTGAAGTTTGATGCCTGTTTTGTTGGTATTTTTATCCATGGGATTTCTTCTTGTGAAGTGCATTTGGAGCTGCTTGTATTGAGTGTTTTTATTACATGGAAAGCGTGCGTATCGTGCAGATATGTTTTCGCTCCGTGGAAGTTAGCCCTGCAACAGCTCTCCTAAACTATTCTCTTTGCATCTTATTTATAATACTTTAACTAAAAACTGCAGGAGGTTTTAAAAACGTCAGTGAAAAAATGGCCAGTGAGCGGAAACCACGGCTTTGTGTCATGGCAAAATCGGAGGACGGGTATGGATTTCACTTGCATGGCGAGAAAGGGAAGAGCGGACAGTACATCCGCAAAGTGGAGGCTGGGTCCCCCGCAGAAGCGACCGGTCTGCGCGCGGGGGACCGGGGTGGTGTCGGTGAATGGGGTGAACGTGGAGAAAGAGACACATCACCAGGCAAGTAGATGTGCATTCATACGATATATGTGGTTTTACCTCATGTTACAGGAGGAATGTTACTCCACACACCGGTTTTGCATGCATTACCCTCCTCCTATTGTGATACATAACTTTTCTTTTAGCTTCTAATTAGACCTGACAGTTTTCTTTACTAGAAACATGTGACTAACCTGCACCATCTCTTTGTCTGTCAAAGGACATAGAGCTGAGAGACTGTTTTCGCAACGGCTGTCAGAAAGAGACAGCAGCCTCAGATAATCATTTTCCCAGGCTCACAGAGGAACATTAGGTTTATCTGTAACCTTGTTACAACAGAGATAACAACAAACTGTTGACTGTTTGAAGCTCTCAGAACATTTCTGCATCCCTGGTGCTTTAAATGTAGGCTTTGCACAAATAATTGCAAAGTTGCTTGTTTTGTCATCTAATGATGTTTGCCCACATTTAAGGGTTGGAGAGCCCAGTCTGTATCTCCATCAATGACACGAAGGATTGATTCAGAGCAAATGTTTGCACTAAATTAATCAGACGGTCTTTTCTTAAATATCAAGACAAAGATAAAGTACAAAATATTGGCAAAATCATCAAATTGTTGGCTTTTTTCCTGAAATATTACGATTAGTTGCCATAGTGTCTGATATTTTGGTCAATGTTTACATATTTCTATCACCCCTGTGACAGGCACTGTACACCCACATGTCTGAGAACAGTGTGAATGTGTTAAATCATTTAGAAAGATGTCTTTGCGCTGACTGGATGCCTCTAACGGAGCTGGTTAACCAAATATTATTTGATGCGATTGGGTTATTTTCCTATAGCTGCAGTCTGTAGTGTTTGACTGCTGCCAAGCTGTGGAGTTAATCCTTCTATTAAGAAACAAAATGAGCAGTGAACAACCGTCCTCTCCCGTCCCTCAGGTGGTACAGCGGATCAAAGCGGTGGAAAGTGAGACCAGGTTGCTGGTGGTGGACCAAGAGACACATGAAAGTCTGCGCAGCCTCCGCCTCACACCCACAGAAGAGATGGCCATCGTCAGGGTTTCACCTCCGTCCTCCTCCTCTCCCCCAGCCTCCCCCTCACCACCCCCATCCTCGGTCCCATCCTCCCCAAGCAAGAAGCGGGAGAACGGCTCGGTGTCCAAGCAGCCGGTCACTCCGAGCAGCCAGGTGCAGAAGCCCACCAGGAGGTCGCCTTCCAAGGCTGCGAAGAAGGTAAGCTGGCCTGACAGGAGAGAACAGTAAAAACAGTCTAATTTAGTTATCTTTTATACTTGTGTTACTCTTTTAATGGTGTGTGGTTTCTAAGGGGGGACATACTGTACAGGTGGAGTATTGATCAATAGTTTTAATATGTATAGGTCTCCCTTTTTCCAAATATGTAGGCCCTATCTTGTTATTCCGTATATATACTGCCTGCAAACCTCCTGGTTGGTCGCAAGAAACCAAAGGATGTTTTCCGGCTCAAACTTGTATCTGTCAGAACAGAATATGACCAGTTTAGTGCTGCAGCTAACAATCCTTTTATAACAGATAGTTTCTGTATGTTATTTTCATGATTATTTGATCAAACAACTGTGAAGTGCCTAACAATAGTTATTTATGAAAAAAGCCCATCACAACTTCCCTAAGCCCCAGTTGACGTACTGTATTTAAATGAATTGCTTTGTCTGATCCTCAGTCCAAAACCCCAGGACAAAGGAAATCGGCAGCATTTTACATTTACAGTTCTTCAACTAGTGATTTTAACAGTTTGGAAAATATACTGATTAGCTTTCTTGCAGAGAGTTGGATAAGAAGATCAACAGCACACTTACAGTATGTGTGCAGTGAATTCGAAGATATCAACAGACGATTAGCTTAGCTTAGCATAGGGGACTGGAAATGGAGGGAAACAGCTTGACGGGCTCTGGCAAACAAAGTAACAAAATCAGCCTATGAGCATCTATAATGCTAGATTTTTTTTTAAAGATCTACAACCGAGCAAAACTTACTGTTTAGCCATTTTCAGTCTTGATTTAAGCTAACGCTGCTGCCTGTAACTGCACACTTATCTTCTCATGTAACGCTTAGCAGAAAAAGAGCAAGAGTATTCCCCAAATTCTCTAACTATTTTCTTATTATGTGAGCTTTTTTTTTGTTAACATCAAGTCAATTATATTCTATGTGTAGAGAACATAAGGCCTTGTCATTCAGCCTAAAACACAAGTCTTTTTCAGACACTCAAACAAAGCATTCTTGGAGTATGTCAACCTCCAAACACAAGAGTTAAAAATACTGAACCCATCAGCGAACAGATTGCAGATAAGTGAGTCATCCCATAACAGAATCTCCTCACCCCGGACTTGTTCTCTTGCTGCTTTGCCAGTTTCAGATTTGATTAGTATATGTTATGCAAGTTCCCATCTTGTTCTGCAGCCTTCCTTGCATGTTTAGGGTATGTCTGATAATGAATGTGTGTGTCCTGAGGGAGGAACATGGCAGCTGAATTCGCTCCAGATGTTGAGTTAGGTCACAGAGGGCAAGGAAAGGTCAGAGGGGGTGACCCTTCAGAAGTTAAGAATCTGGAAACGGACAACGCAGTGGCTCTGAAGAACGGGAAATGCACAGAAATAGTTAAAGATTTATGAATCAAGAAAGATGTTTGGGAGATGTTCTAAAAGCCTTTTGTTTTAGATTAGAAAGATCAGATTTAGATTAGACAAAAAAAGCACTTCACAAGTCTCACAACATAAAATGAATTGAGGCTCGAGTGAAACCATTGCTACATTTCCAGTTCATCATTATGACCTCTCTTCTTTTCTAATGTTACATTGTTTTGTTTTGGCATTTCATTTTGTATCGAGGTAATCCAAATATAAAGAGAAGTAATGAGGTTACATTAGTTTTAAAGTGTGATTCTAAGATTAGGGTTTTTAACCCTCTTAACCCTGTAGATATTGATAATATTGTGAAATGATATTCAAGCAGGAATTTTACTTTACAGGACATTCACATCTTCCTGTGTTTGTTTTCATAACTCCTTGTCACAGTTGTTTGGATATTTCTCAATAGTCATTTGATACACTTTTTTTTTCTAAATCAGATTCACTGTTTGGTTATTCCATGTTAAATTGGAAAACAGGATGTGTTTCCGTTCGCTCTGTCTCTCCTGGAACACAAAGATCTGATGGGCTTTGGTTTCACATGGCCTCTATCAGCGGGATGAGGCCGCTCCACTTCTGCTTTCTGCATTTACACAAACATGTGTTTTCACTTAGGCTTACCCCATATGTGAGCAGCACTCACTACTTCTACAAATGCACTGCAGCGACAGGGCCAATCAGTTAAATCTTAAATGTATGTGTGTGTGTGTGTGTGTGTGTGTGTGTGTGTGTGTGTGTGTGTGTGTGTGTGTGTGTGTGTGTGTGTGTGTGTGTGTGTGTGTGTGTGTGTGTGTGTGTGTGTGTGTGTGTGTGTGTGTGTGTGTGTGTGTGTGTGTGTGTGTGTGTGTGACCTATGGCAAGAAATCCCAGTGCCTGGTGGGTTCGGATTGGCCTGGCTGAGTCTCAGGGAAATGCTTAGAGGTCTTTTGTTCCTCTCTTTTTTTTGTATGACTTATGAAAGGATGGAAAAAAGTTTGGCAGATTAAGCCAAAAAGCATCAGCGCATATAAAATGTAGAAGCTGCTATTGGGACATTTTTAACTTGTACTTTGATGACCATAAGCAACCTCCTGTTGAGACTGGCACATTGAAACCTGCCTCTGTTTCTCAATTGTTACCTTGATAGTGTGGAAAATGTAAGATGTTTCCATTTCCCTGGTTCCACAACAGATATGCAGACTCAGTATTGACACTGCATGCTAATATAACATATTTCGACTTGTTTGTCATTTGTCCATGTGGCAGTCAAGGATCTTTGGCAATCAGTGCCGTGTAATTACAACCACGAAAGCAGAGGGGAAAACAGACTGATCAGCATGGAAACATTAATCACCAAGTGAACAATCGTATCTAAAAAGATGAAAGATGAATCGCTTCTCCTAATTCTTTGACTCTGTCACAGCTGTAAAAGTCAGTTTGTTTCAGCGAGACTGCTGAGATCAACACATTTCTTCTCATAAGTTTTATTTTCAAAGAAAGGCAGGAGAGAAAGAATGAGGGAGGGATGGAGAGCAGACAGCTTTTGGACAGAGGGAACCCAAGTAAGAGGAGCCAAGGCAATAACAACCTTGAAGATTTGTTGGAGGGACTTTTCAGGATGTGGGCCCCCCTCAGTGGGGCAGGGGAGTGGGGAAAGTAGAAGGTTTTGAGGTAGTGGAGTCACACAGTGAGGGGGAGACTTGGTGAAGAGGTTTGATAGAAGCTGGCAGAATACATGGTTACAGCAGAAACATGGGTAGACATGGGGTGCGTTTCACTTCTCTTATTTTTCCTTTCCTCGCTCCTCGGTCTCGGTATCACCGGAAGTTGATTTGTCTGTGCCATCTTGAGTATCGTCCCAGTGGCCTTATTTTTGCCGGAAGATCGAGGAGCGATAACGGAGGAGCGATAATCGAGGAACCACCATCGGACCATCCTCCGTTGAAATCCTCATACACTCGCCCCGCCCCCTTACTGTGTATCGCTCACTGATTTGATGATGCAGCGCATGCACTGATCTGGTTGCTGTCAGACGATCAGCTGTGCGGCGTCATCACAAACGGACATCGCTTCACGTGACGCTCCGGAGGAAACGACGTCCCATTGCTCTTAAAACTCATTTCCCGGGCTGCTTCTCAGGACGATTAAATGAAATCCTTGCTTCCCTCACTTGCGTCGTTTCCCTGCGTTTAGTCCCTCCCACCAGGGAAGCATGGAGGGACGCAAGGAAACCACGAGAAGCAGGGAAATGAGTTTTAAGAGCAATGGGACGTCCTTTCCTCCGGAGTGTCACGTGAAGCGACGTCCGTTTGTGATGACGCTGCACAGCTGTTCGTCTGGCAGCAGCCAGCTCTGTACCCGTTATTTCCACACACCCCCGCCTCTGTTAGTGCACATTTACTGACATAAAAATTAGTATCATCTGTTGTAGATCCAAATACATGAAATAAAATAAGAAGTCATTCTCAAAAAAGATAAACGCCATTCTTAAAATGTATAAACGAAAAAAGCGATCATGAAAATGTTTCCAATAAATGAATAAAAAAATGTTTGACCACTTTGTTGTTCAGATATATCACATATTTGTAACTAAATGATACATGAATTGAAACAAAACACAGTATAAACTGAGGAGTGACTCCCGTGAGGTTCATGTATTTTCTTCACTCCGCTGAGAAACTGCTCTCATGTCAAGAAGCATCAGATCAGTGCATGCACTGCCTCGTCCAATCAGTGAGCGATACACAGTAAGGGGGCGGGGTGAGTATCTGAGGATTTCATCGGAGGATGGTCTGGTGGTTCCTCGGTTATCGCTCCTCCATGATCGCTCCTCGCTCCTCGATCCTCGATCCTCGGTCCTCCGGCAGAAATAAGAGCCATGGGACGGTACTCAAGATGGTGCAGGCAAATCAACTTCCGGTGAGACCGAGGACCGAGGAGCGAGGAAATGAAAATAGTCGACCTGAGGAGCAGCCCCTGCTTCTCGTGGTTTCCTTGTGTCTCTCCATGCTTCCCTGGTGGGAGGGACTAGTCGCAGGTAAACGACGCAAGTGAGGGACGCAAGGATTCCATTTAACCAAAGTGAAACGCACCCCTGGTCCTTTCTGGACCTGTAATCACTTTGTCCATTCATTTTCCTGTTACGGGCTTTGTGAGTGTGCATGTTCCCTCGGTTAAATTACACTGCCTTTCTTCAGTTTTATGGCCAATCCGTGTCATGTGCGAATAAATACTATGCAATGGGTGTCTTTCACAGAACCTTAAAGTGTATCACTGTTAAGCATATTGAGACTGAAAACCCATATCAAATATGTTGGCTCGATAAAACAGAAAAAAAACTTTAAAGACATATAGTGGTTACCAGTTACAAATACCTTGGTATCTGGCTTGATGATTGTCTCTCTTTTAAACTTCATATCAATAACCTGCTTAAAAAACTAAGGGTTAGGCTAGGGTTCTTTTTCAGAAACAAGTCCTGTTTCTCGCTTGAGGCCAGGAAAAGGCTAGTCACTGTCACCTTTTTACCTGTGCTGGAGACTATGGTGATTTGTTGTACATGAATGCACCTGCCAATTACCTGAGCAAATTGGA